CAAAAAGGACCAAGTTTCAATACTATCGAAAGCCTTGTGAAAGTCAATAAATGCCATATGTAGAGGTACATTATATTCTGTGGTTTTTTCTACCATTGTTCTGATGGTTTGTAAGTGACCTTCAGTACCAAACTCTTTTCTAAATCCCGCCTGTTCACAACCGGTTGATATAAATCAAGTTTTTGTGTTATATGGTTGGTTGTTATTCTTGTTAGCAATTTGTATAAGTGTGAAAACAAACTTCTGGTTTGTAGGTTTCAATATTAGTAGTGTCTCCTTTCTTCTGTAAAAGTATTATTTAGGCGTTTCCCACAGACTGGCTATTCGTTTTTCTGTTAGACACTTATTCAACAAAACTTCCACAACCTCTACCACGATGTTGCATTTTTAACATTTCAGATGTTATACGATCCTCACCAGTAGCTTTTTTATTTTTCATTTGCTGTAAGGCATTTCTAATTTCCGAAGAAGTTATTTTAGGGAGAGTTTCCGAGCCAACGTTTAGACTTGTTCTATGGTCTGTTCCGGGTTCTGTATACTAGATGTATACAGATTCTCATAGAACGTTTATATTTCCTTGATTATTTGAGTTCTTTCCGCCACCGTATTCCCCTGTTGGTTTTTGATTACTTTTTTTTTGAAAAAAATAAAAAAATATATAAATAACTCTTCATGTAGAATTAACTTCAGAATAGAAGATATCTTATTATTTTACTCTAATATTGCATGAATATGTGTAGGAAGCATGCAAACTTTTGTGAACATTAGAATGACGTACCAATAATGATGTTTTTCTCATTCTATTCGCGTGAAAGGTCTTTTCACTTTGTATGTGTTATATGTTATAAGAGTATCTTTCGATATGATGTCTTTACATTTTGCTGAAAAATGCTCCAAAACAATATATGACATCTTAATGTGCCATACACATTTTTAGTGTAAGCAGCTCATCTACATATATTATCTGTGTTGTGTATCATGATGTCGGGTTTGCACATACATACCGGGTGGTGAATCGTCAAACGGACCATAGGAAACTCAATGAGAAATTTTAAATTGTTGAATTGCTGCTTCCCTAATTATTTTAGATCAAAAGTCATAAAAAACTATTTGTAGAGGACTAAAATCTGAATTAAAAACAATTGTTAAAACCGTTCTACGAATCAAATGTACTTCAAAATTTTGAAAAAATGTGATACATTTTTCAGACCACCCCTAAAAGTTAGGCCACACGTAATGCAAGAATACACTTTGAATTGTCAATTTTTTTATTTTATAATTAAATTATTAACAATGAATTTTACTAAATACTACTACTACTGAACATTATTACTTTGTGAACAATAAATTATATTGTTTACAAATCGATCAATATAATGAAATGCACTCAGTTGACGAAAAATCGCATAATGTTGTATTCAGGCAATAGCGCGAACCTTTTCCTGCCACTACCGGATCTTTATTTAACGTAATATATTCTAATTCACTAAAATTTAATTCCATGTTAAGTTATACAACAATTCAATGAATTCCAATATACTGTTACTGTGATCTTTATTCCCAATAATAATATATGATTATTTCTAAACATAAAACTATAATAAATGTTATAATAAAACATGAATAAAACATTTTTATTATTGCTTTTTTCTCCTCAACTGAGTACATTTTTTAATCAACTTAATTTTTTTTAAACAATAAATCACAAAATTTTGGCCATTTAAATCATAGATAAATATAATATACCTAATTGATTTAAATATTGTCAAATATCAGAAACAATAATATGACAAAACGCAACACGTAATACACATTTTTCACAGAAAAATGTATTATATTTTAGCAAAATTTTGGAATACGTTTAAGTCGTAGAATAATTTTAACAGTTGTTTTCGATACATATTTGAGTCCTCTACAAATAGTTTCCCATGACTTTTGGTGTAAAATAATTAGGGAAGCAGGAATTCAACAATTTAGAATTTACCATTGAGTTTCCTATGGCCCGTTTGCCGATTCACCACCCTGTATATACAGAAGATACAGTTTACCTTGACTCACAACAACTGTTATACAATGTTTGGATTTAAGTAGTTTTTCAAACGTAAAACTACTTTTTAGTCCTGTTTTTTTTTTTCAAGAACATCTCCTTTGTCTCGTTAATGAATTTGTACTCAACTGATATAACTACTAAATGCCCGCGACCATTAGTCGACTTCATATCCAGCTTCTTTTGTGGACATTATTTAGTCCGGGCAGTTATGTAAATTATTGATTCCTCTTCCAAGTTTTTCAACTTCCAATACCACAATATTTCGTATTTTATTGTAGTAAGTACTTCTAGTAGACGCAGTACTGTTCTCAGCCTCTGTCGCATCAACTCAAGAAGTAGTTACAGGTTTCCATGGTATTTTGTTAGTTTGTAGTTCCTTTTGAGAGTTTCCCATTTTTTATATTTTTGTTGATTTGTTTCATTCTGGTCATATGAGTACAATGTAGATAAGAATCAGTGCCTACAGAACTCCGAAGGTATATGGACTAATATGAAATGGGACGTGGTCAGATCCTTCCTGTACAATAGACATGCAACTGCTATGAAATTTAGTCATAGTACGATAGTACGATAAGCCCTTACCCTGCATGTTGTTATTCCCTTGGTTTTCCGGCAGCAGTATGTCCAGTTCAAGGCTCGTTACCACGTCAATCTGGAATAGCAGGATGGTGTCTCTTATGATCTTCTAATCAGTATTTTAAACTTGCTTGATTCAACGTATTTGGAACATTATTGAGTAGACCAATGTAGTGATAAGTTCTTTGATGTTACTGTGTCAGAAAATTGTCTAAGAGATTTCCTTTCACACAGGTTTCATTGTATTTGCCTCTTTTTGGCGTAACATATTTTTTCTGTATTGAATTGTTATACTTTATTCAAACAAAACTTACCTTTCCCGTACATTTTCAGAGTATTCTTTATACGTATACAAATCTTAATTATCCATATGTGAAAATTAGTTTCACTGTATTTGATTTTCCAAATAATTAAAATCATGCATATTATATTACGCAAAAGAGATAATGAACCACTTTCAAATTTAATGTATTCATTTATCAATTTTTATAAAACGCAGATAAGAAAAATTACGTTCTAAAAATACCCAATAAAAAACCTCAATTTATCACTTCGTGTTGGAATTTCCGTATGGATATCAATTCACAGAAAAGGAAAATACCATGTTTTGGCAAACTGGTTTAATGTGGGGAATAATCTAATATTTATTAAATAGAATTGCTCACACATAATGTATATTGAACTATATGGCATACTTTTGTAAATATAAGTATTAAAATATTTATACAGGAGGTAACAAAAACGTAAATCATAAATGAAACCATATGTTCGGCCAAAACTAGCCCAATTGAACATAACTTAACAAGTGTACAAACAAAAAGTGTAAACAAATGTGTACACATAAAAAGTTACAACTTTTTGAAGCTAAAAAATCAAAATCGACTTCAAATTGCAAATAATTTTCACGATTTCAATTATTTGGAGAGAATACTTAACCCCATTAAGTTTTTATTCATAATTTGTATCCAAACATTTGAACCTGGAAATCAGTTGGTGACGACAAAGTTTTTTTGAGTGAAGATTTTCTGCTCGCAGATGTACGCTTTATAATGTATTCACGGTGCCAGTTCTGTTGACCGTAGCTTTGTCGATAAACAAAATATGGTTAATGAAATGGACATTTCGAATGTTTCCCTTAAAAACCAATCGCAATGCTTTTGATAATCTTCATCGAATAACTCTTGAACTCTTGGTTATTCAGCGATAAAAATAAATCTGGTGATATTTGAATCTTCTCCAAACCATCATGAATCACCTAATTGATCGGTTACTATCTCTCATTGCTATTGTAAAGTTCTTCAATTGCATTGAGTCTCTTCGTCGTCTGTATTCACTTTGGAGGACCACTATTACCAGAAAGGAGTAGTTGCAATGTATCTAACGGACCAAGCATACTCAGATTAAAATGCATAATGTGTACCTCATCATCATCATCATCATTATGTTTGGCTCGACAATCCTCTGTGGATAATGGCCTGCTCTAAGATTAGTCACCATTCCGTTCGGTTTCTGGCAACATGTTGCCATCTTCTGATCTCTAGTATCCCTTAGTCGGTCTCAACTCCATCAAACCTCCTAATTCGCAGTCGGCCTCTGCTTCTTCTTTCTTTAGGTGTTCCTGTCGGTAGCTTTTTAGCAATCATGTTGTCAGATATTCGTATTATGTGCCCGGCACATCTAAGTCGCTGTGTTTTAATGAACGGGACGACGTCTGGTTTATTAAAGAGTTGGTATAATTAGAAATTAAATCTTTTGCGCCACTGCCCTTGATCGTTTACAGCTCCAAATATTTTGCGGAGAATCTCACGCTCGAATATTCTCAGAAGTCTTTCATTTTTGAGTTAGGTTCATGTTTCCGCTCCATATGTGAGGACCGGCCTCAGCAGTGTTTTATATATAATAATTTTAGTTTTTCTTTAAATAGATATTTTTTGAGTGAAATTGTTTTTGGAGTCTGTACTGCAACTGTGTAAACTTGTAATAAATGTATACCTATGCCGTTATAATCGCATAGTTAATTTTTCATAATAATCTTAAATTATTTTAGCCAAGATCACATAATTTCATTTATAGCCTAGTTTTTGTTACTACATTTCGGCTTTTAAATTTCCATGAGGTAATGAATTTTGAACATAGGTCATTTTACTATTTTAAAAATGTATATAACAAATTACTTTACGATTAGTTTCTCACATGAAATCTGGTACATTCTTGTTGATTTTAGATAGTTGATTATTCTTTTAGATTTAAAGAATTGAGGAAATTTTTTCATATTGGTAATATTGGTGTAATTTGTGTTTGCTTCTGTGATGTTATTTTGTTGTCGTACTAAAGCTGTACATTCTGAAATTAATTCTCTAATATTATTTTTCAGGAATCAAGAAGTAATGGAAGTAGTTCTGGGGAAATGGTGGGGAAGACATCAACAGAGTTGGAATCCAGTGGGTGCGCAACCAATACTAAGTCGCTAGAAAGCGACATCTCAGAGTATTTGCTGCTCCACCACAACTATGCTGCTAAACCCCCATTAGACGACACATTAAATGCTAAGAGCCCAATTAGTAGAATCAGAAAATTAAAAACTATCAAACCAAAGCGCAAGATTGTCAATACAAAACCTGTTATTCCTGAAAGCGATGTGGTTTATGGAACACTTGATGAAGTTAGCAATGTTGTCACGATAATAGTGGACAGTAATGGAGTACCAATGACAGAAGAAGCATTACAAAGGTTAGAAAACAGAGAGGAGGAAACCCAACTCACTGTTCCTTTACCTCTTGCAACGCAATCTGAATTGGTTACTTCTTTACCAGTTGCTGAATCAAAAAGAGCTAGTTCATCATATGTTGCTGAATCAAACCTAACAGTTCCAACAGCCATGCTAGAATGTTTGTCTCCAATGTCCTGCAGTGACTCTGATCGAGGGTATGAATCATTAGATTCTCCGATCAGTTTACCTGAGGATCTTTGGGACCAAAGTATATCAGAGCTATTTCCTTCTTTACTCTAGGTTTAAACTTCTAACATCGTGTATAGTTTAATTTAAATTAGGTTACTTAATTTATTTTTTACTTAAAGAGTGATTTTTATATATATTTGTTATATTGTGTAAATTTTAAATTTAGGTAATAAAGTTGTGGATGTAGCAGATCTAAAAAAGTGTTTTGTTTTTATTTTACTCCAAACTAAAAAGCTTCCCGATGCTCAAAAACTAATATAGATTTATATTGAATTTTTTTGAGAACAACTTCTGGTAATGTAATATTATTTTATTTGGTTATCATTAATTTACATTTTTCTTGTATATTCCAACAGTCTATTCGGGATAAGATTCACAATGAAGTATGGATAACACTGAAAAGTGAAATAAAAATCACTAGGACCAAGGAAATTAAACTAATAAATGAACGCATGATAAAATAATATGCAAATATCGAGCATGTGTTTAATACGGTCAACTAAGTCTACGAATATGTAGTATAATATTGGATAGACGTGATAAAACAAGTAAAAAGAAAAAAAAATCATACCAAACGGGAAATAGAGTATGTTACGCATATGATGCAGTTCTGGTAGCCAAAATATTGCTATATAAAATCAACATAGAGGAATTCAATATAAATTGATGGAGAGCCACGTCCGAAACTTCGAAGAGGGATAAGAGGATAAAATATATGGCAGAAAGGTGCAGTTCGCGAGATAGGAGAGCAAACAGTCGTCCCTATTGGTGGATGGAGATAAGAAAAGGCTACGTCGATCTAAGAAAAAAAGTTACGAGAGACAAAGAAAGAGCTGGTGCTAGAAATAAACGATGAAAGGAGAATATGTTGGAAATAACTAGGAAAGTTTGAAAAGGATATCTGGGGAGACGCCCACCGAATAGTTATCACGAATTTTAAAGGGATAGGAAGCTTCTTAAGGATCGAGGAGAGTCGACGAAAGAACTGGCCAAAGCTCTCTTTCCACAGAGGGAGGAAATAAGTTTCACGCCACTCCAATTAGACACTCGTAACTGAATTTACAAGGGAAGAAGTGACGGAAGCTGGCAAAACGCTCAAACCAAGAAAAGCACCTGGACGTGATAATGTAGCACCCGAGATAATAAAAATCATTATCGATAAGAAATCATCAATGGGCATAGGATATTATGAATAATCTGCTAAGGCAAGAGTTCCCAGAAGATCTGAATACGACAAATCTCATACTTATTCCGAAACCGAGAAAGGAATTAGAAGAGCCTGGAAATGGAAAATATTTCGCAGATTTAAATATTCGACTGCTGTACAATTTATACAAAGATAAAGGTAAGGAACCTGTGGCGGGGCACGTTTATCGTAGAACTTTCAACAACGAGTTCAACTTTCATTTTCATGCACCTCACAAGGATACTTGTATAAAATGCGATATTTTTAATAATAAACTCAAGTACAAACCAGAAGAACACGAAAATTCAAAACTTCGGCAGAATCATGAACTTTATCTATGCAAAGCTGATAAAGCTCGAGAATCAATAAAATTTTATATCGAAAAATCAGCTTTTGACAGATCGTACTATGGTTTTCCTTTTGATTTAGAAAATTCTATACCTTTTCCACGCCTGTCATGTCAAATGGCCTACTATAAACGTAATTTTTATGTCTAAAATTTAGGTTGTCATAAGCTTTTAACAAAAAAAAGGATTGTATTGTTGGGATTAAGTGACTGGATCTAGAGAAAAAGAAGCAAAATAATGGCGGTAAAATCCCATATGTGATAAAAGGAGACTAAGCGTTTGGGTTACATGAAAATATCATTAGGTCTTATACTCTTAGTTATAAGCAAAAAATCTCAAAACTACAGGCTATCTCGAGCACGTCGCCGCATCGAATGTAATTTGGTATTTTATCCATTAAGTGGACGATATTTCACTGACAAATGTCTAGATATATTTAGCGAAAATGATTGTTCCACAATTAAAAACTACACCACTACGATCTTGATAGTGTGGGGAGGAACCTGACTCCCAGTTGGCAACAAATTACAAGCACATTTTTAAATGATAACCCATTAGCATGGTAACACAAAAATGTTTAACGACGGTAAAAAACTTAATAAATATTTATCATATACCCGATTCATCTCTTTATTGATTCGGTTGACTCTTTAAAAATATCTACCAATTCATCCAAACATGTTATTTTTAAGAAGCAGTCGGAATATTCTTTTAATACAGTATTTCATATACACGGCCGATTTTAAATTTCCACAATGAACCTGTCCTTGTCGGAAGCCATAATGATACTCTTGCAATTTAAAATGGAACGTAAATGGGTAGAGACGTGGTTTGCTTGTGTCTATTTTGTTGGCTCTGTCGACAGAATTTCCAGTTTCCACATCAGAACAAAGTCATTTCAAACAAAACCAGCATAAGGCACAACAAAATCTTGGAGAATTTCATCAATCTACCTGGTAGCTGTTATGGAGCCTCTCGGAACGATATACAACTCTGTACGTACCTCTAGAGAAATTCCAGTCCACACAATAATTAAGCCCCCTTGATAGCCTACCCAAATATGTACAGTAGGTAAAATGAGCATAGTTTCTGGTAAACTGAAGCCGCGAAACTCGATGGCGCCGGAGAAGTTGTAGGACTGTTCCGGACGTACTGAAGTTGATTTCGGATTTGCACAGCAGTGGCACGACGATCTCGCAAACTTTTTAATAGATAAAGTAATCATAACGGGCACAAGCTCTTCATTGGGGACCGGTTCCAGACCGTCTAGTGTACACATGCCTGTTACTAGCACAATGGCATACCAGTACCTAGCAAGCACCAGCTACTGTACCCAAATTGGCATGCTAGCTAATCGCATTTTTCTTGATAGTAGCATGCTGTCAGATGCAAGGTGCATGCGTGGGGGTGTCACTCGCATGTGTGTGCTACCGTTCATGCACGGGCATGCCAGTAGCTAGTAGCAGAAAATTGTCAGATTTGTTGTGTTGGCGATAAAATGTTTTAAACTTGTTAATTTAAAAAATGTTTCGTTGGGGTGATGAAAAGACCATTAAATTTATTGCTATATATAGAGAGTTTGAGTGTCTTCTGAATTCTAAATCATCTCTATATAAAAATAAAATAGCCCGTGACAATGCTTACACAAAAATTCAAGGGGAAATGTATAAAAGTATTACTATAAAGGAGATAAAGGCCAAAGTAAAAAATGGCTGCAAGATTTTCCGCCTACCAATCCACAATACTTTTGAGCAATATTATATCGCTCACTTCTGCAGTCATAAAGCAATGCCCTTTCCCAAATCCCCTTTCGGGATTTACAACCATAATTCTTGAGATTAAATCAACACAATTCAACTTCAAATTGTTTTTTGACACTTGATCCGTGTCAGTGATAAGAATAGTGTATTCTTTATTTCTGATTTTTTATGCGTTTTTTTTCGGATAAGATATATTAGAAATTACTTCAAACAGTTTTTTCAGTGTGTGTTTACGCTATTATAATAAAAGTTTAAAGATAATAAAAATTTCAAGTTTTTATTTTTAAAATGCAAGTGCTCCGTTTTTCGTGCAGGTGAGATTCTAGGACTTAAGGTTTTCTAATTAATAAATTATTAAATAAAATACTTGTGTAAAAATTTATTTCAAAAAAATTAACTTTTTACAATATTTACAGAAAAAATAATATAACATTTTATAAGCAATAATTAATATTCACAGAATATTAAAGTTTTTTTCTAATTGAAACAATAGGGCTAGCACTACACCACGATAATTTGACAAGTTGAATGTAGATGAAATTATACAAATAGTCAGTTTTTTCAACCGTATTTCATAAGACGATATGATATTACCAAGAAGGTCAAGAAAGATATAGTTATATTTTCCAATTTTTTAGGCAATAACCAGAGTTAATTCTAACTTACATGACCCATTATTGCCTGTTCTGATAGTATTTCAGTGAAGTAGTTTTATCTTTATAACTCTTTCAGTCCATAATATTCGTAACATGCACAGATAATACAACTTTTACAATGGCTTGAGTTAATTAAATTCGATCTTTTTACCGTTCAGGTTTCCTAAACCAATAGCTAAATTGAAAAAATATTGCGACTTCTTGTAGAGGTCTTTTTTCACCGAATAACGTATTGGGACCGTGCAAGTTCGGAACAGTGACACCTGGTGTCGTAAATCAGCAAAATTTACTGCGCTTTCATGTAAGATCGAGGTTTCCGGATAACTGTCAAGGACGTAGCCCCAAAAAAGAATAAGAAGAAAAAGTAAGATTGGGGTTATGTCGGTATGTTATTAAAAGGTAAACGTAAATGTAGTGTAAATACAAATAAATATATTATTAAATTACAGCATTACTGTTAATATGGATGCAATAATAAAAACTGGATTTGAGAAAGTAAATCACCAAATAACTTTTCAACCAAGCACTGAGTCAAAGGGAAAAGCTTTAGTAGTGGCAAATGTCAAAAAAGAATGGAAGAATTATGTGGAAGAATTAAGAAAAATAAATTACCATAAATAATGCTAATGCATAAATTAGCAGGTTAAGCCCACGATATCATCATATTGGTTTAAATAAAATTTAAACATTAAACTTTATTTTTGGGTTAAAATAAATTCTAAGTGAGTGTTATGAAACTAAAATTTACACTTAAAAGTGAACTTTTATTTATTATTTATTTCAAACTGACTTTTGACTAACTCGGGTGCAAGAATAATGCATAATTTAGGTTATGTTACTTATGCTTTTTTATGATATAAATCCACTTTTCTCTTTGTAGTAATTTGTGCTTCGAAGTTGGAAACGAATAAAACTTAAATTGACAATTTTTTCTTGTATTTTTACAATTTATAACACAGCATTTCCTAAATCCCATTTTCTTCAGTGACAGAAGGTGTAAATAAACAAACGAATATGAAATATGACAATTATCAATATGAATTTATGAAATCTATGAAATCGAAAAGTGCAGTAAAAAATGCAAGATTTCTCCGCTACTCGC